CACGGTCGTTCTCGTAATCGCAGCAGCAGCAGCAGGAGCAGTAGTAGTAGTAGTAGTAGTAGTAGTAGTAGTCGTAGCAGTAGCAGTAGCAGTAGCAGTAGCAGTAGCAGTAGCAGTAGCAGTAGCAGTGGTCGTGGCGGTACTTTTGTAGCAAATCGTCCTGATGATCGTGCTTGCAGTCTGCGACAGCCTATCGTTGATTCTTGCTGTTTCCATGAAGCTCGGCGTCCATTCCCAGGAGCATGTGGCCAGGCTCAAGTCCAGTCGTTTGGTATATGTGATCCTGCAAGCGGGTCATCCTCCCTTTGAGACTAGCAGAAGCCAAACTAAGTCCGGCTTTCTGTCACTTCTCGCTCAGTAGCTGCCGGATGCAAGTACAAGCAGCTTGACCTCCCGTCCTGAAAGTTGCTGGTAAAGGAGTCCACTGTCAGGTAACCAAACATCATAAAAATCCCAGCCAGTGACATCTTCTTTTCAACCTCTTCCGCTTCGTGGATCTGAAAGTCCCAGACAAAGAATGCCACAAAGCCTTGTGCAAGCAGGTGACAATGTCAGATGCGAGTCCATGGATCTGCGGACTGCTCGAATTTCGACAACTGCACCCCAACAAAATTCTATGACTGCAAGCTGTATGAATCTCGCACGTCTTGCAGAGTCAAGCAACCCCGCACAAAAGGAGGCTGCGACCTTTTCTACATCGCGGCACATGAAGGCTGCTGCTCTAGTTCGCTAACTTGACGGGTGAGTTCCTCGAGAGAGTCTGCTAGCACAGCATCCTCTGACACATGCTCGTAGAAGAGCAAGGTGGGAAGGTATTGGCCCGCCATCATTACTTTGGTAACTGAGTTCCAGTCTGCCTTTTCGCGCACACTCGTGTCATCAAATAAGATCCAGCGCTTCCTGGCGGGACACCAGAAGAGCGCCACGTAGTGCATGCCGAAGTAACAAATCATCCCATGAAAGCAATATGCATCGCCCACTTCGACCTGGGATGCTTTGGAGGGGCCCGGTCCCGCGTACGATTGGTCGGATTGCGGATTTGTCTGGAATATCTGGTCCATATGCAGCTGTGGCTGGATCATTGCCAGCACCAACCACAAGGCTTCCCGTCCGGGGGTGGATGTCGGCCAAATCAACGACAGAATGAACGTCTTCGGTTGTTTCGTAAGCCAACGCTCGGTAACCAAAGTCTTGCGGGAATTGCACTCTGCGCACTTCCCGTCAGCATCCCTCTGGCAAAGCTTTCTCAGAACCTCCTGCAACGTGGCTGGATGCTGCCCTGCCAGCTTCGATGTCAGTTGTAGCACCATGTCCTGAAAAGGGCTCTGTCGATCTGCAATAACCTGCGGCTCCGCAGGAGTTCGGCTTTGACAGTCGATGAGCTCTGTAACATAAGCTCTGTACAAGTAGGCGCCTGAGACTGATGGTTCCCTCGTGGCCCCGCAAAACGTGCAACGAGTGACATCAACGTACTCAATCCCGAAGACTTCATGGGCGAGGCACATCGGGTGACAGCCAAAGTCACTCGCCTCTTCAACAAACTCAGCTTGCGACTGCAACGGGCAGCAAGCGGGACCGTGCGACACGTTGCATGCGTGAAGACAACCAAGAATCGTTTCTATCGTCTCCGTGGCATCTTCCATGTCACCAATTTTGAACCGTCCCTGGGCATCATACACACTGGAGAGGGCACGCCGCAAGCAGTCAGGAGGAAGCGTGTCTGCGTCTGAAAACTGAAACTCCTGGAACACTGTCTTCAAAGCGCAGTAAACAGTTGCTCCGACTCTGTTCTGGGCAGTGGATCCTGTGTGATCATGCTCAGGAGCATGGAGGACTCGTCTTCGGAAGGACTGCAGGTTCCAAAAAGCCTGAATAACAACGTTCAAAAAGCCTTGGATCGGGCCAATCAGTCTCCAAGATACTCCCATCACCGAACATGCAAGAGTAAAATCTATCTGCTACTCAGGCATGCCTACCCACAAGATGGCACTCAATAAGCCTTGAAGATTCACTGGGCGGAAGGATGAACGATGCAAAACCACTTAAGCAGCTAGCACACATCTTATTGATAAAGGCACCACAATCTGGAGTTCGGAATTGTGGGGCACTTGCTGTAACTTGTTGTGAGAAACGCCTGTAGCACTGGTAGCGCATTAAGAAAAACCTGATACAGAACAGTCTTCAATGTGAAACAGAGTCTGGTTGCAGTGGTTAGCACCATTCTCGTTCTCCAAACCACGCGCTCGCAACGGCAGCGGCTCAGCATCACGAGCAGAAGGCTCCATGGCAGGTCTGAGTTGCCATACGGTCTTAGGTCTGAGTTTTCATGTAGCCTTCGTTGTGAAAGGCTTCGGGATGCTTCGCGTCGGATTCGGATTCAGGGCAAGCGGCATGAAGCTAAGCCGTGGGGCTGTCCTGCTTCCGACATCGGGCAGCGTGTGCTCAAAGGCTCGTAAATTCACAGACTTGGGATGTACCTGACTTGAGCCAAGGCGGTCCGAGACGGGCTCTGAGCATCCTGAAGGCCTAGCTTGAAAGGTACACGAAACCCAGGGAACCTGGTTCTCTCATGTCAATCCGAGGAGCAGGTCAGCAGAAAGCCTTCCATGTAGTCCAGGCGGCTGTAGACGCGGTTCTGCAAACAGCTCCTGAAACTCAAGACTTCACAGCTCATGCCTCTTATGCATCTAGCTCTGACAGGAGTATCCCAAAATGCTTGAAAGCGGACAGCAACAGGATCCAATCAGCACACCAAAGGCTTGGAATCCTACCATTTCCTCTAGTTGCGACCTGAGTCCAGATTTCCTACTCTAGGATGTGTTCTGAATTGAAGGAGCTATCTTTTGCATGACGGAGGATCCCAACCAGCATGACAGGAAGCACTTTGAGCGTCTTCATCCTTGGCTCACATCACAGGAAGGTTAAGCAAATCGACACTGCCTGTGCGAGACTCGGCTACTGAATATCTTTCTGAGGTTTCACGCTATCCACACATTGAAATCGCTGCAAGCATCAGAGATTGCGCTGGGAAGAACCTCAACAGACATGGAAAGCTGCACGCACGCCACAGCGCATTGTGCACCCGACAATTCTGAACACCACGCATGCGTGCCATCAGGCAGCATCAAGTACAGCGCCGCGTGCTGGAGGGATGTAGCCACCAAGTCTGTAGTAGCAGGAAGAAGCGTGCCTATCATGCCTGCAAGCAAAGCAAACAGTCAGCATCTCCGCATGTGCACCGTGCAACAACTACTCTCGGAGCCTGGTGCAACAATTTGGTGCCCGCTGGCACAGAGTGCAGCCAGTGAAAGCAAGGCCCCCGCAGAGTGGCTTAGAGCAACCTTTGGACAGCGGTCTCGGGCGCCAACAGCTGCGCTCCGAAAACAAAGGCCTTTCTGTCTGAACTTAGCCCCGGACGAGTGTTAGAGGAAAGTTGAACAAGTCGCTTTCGAAAGTGTGGCTGGACAGAAACTCCTGACATGCACGTGTGGCATCCTGGACAGTGCTCAGCTGCCTGAAGCTCCCAGCAGCTCACGATAGCAAATGCTGCAGAGTGCGTCTGTACTCGCAAAGACTGACAGTTTGGCTTGATCACCGACTGGACACAAGCCCATCACATGCGCCTGCAACAAAGAATATACCAAGTACACGACGTGGATGGCCATCCTCGGGCATGATGGGAAAGCCAGGAAAAACCCAGCTTGATCGTTTTCCGTTTGCAACCCACATCGCGAAGAGGACAGCACACATCCCAGAACAGTTCGACATTGACTGAATACATCGCAACAGCTGCAATGCGGCTTCGACACGAGTTGGCCCATCCAGAACAACATGTGCACAAATAATCGATGCGAGCGAGCTGCGTGCATACGAATAGTGGCGAGAATCGCGACAGCCTGCGTTCATGCATTGTTTGCGGCTTACCATCCAGCGCCTCATGGAAAATCAGTTCTGCGCTGCAGCTGCCTTGCCGAAAAGTTCCTTGGATGAGGCGTGGCCAAGTCTGCTCTCTTGCTGGCATCCCTTGCTCTCTCCTCGAGAGTGTTCAGCCCCGCCCTGGCAGGCCAGCGCGTCCGTGCTTGGAGGTCTTTGCTTAGGCATGTAGACTTAGCTTCCCGCATCCGTCTTTCTCTCTGCAAGGCTTTGCAACGACTGTGGTGTGAGCATTTACTTGTCGGTACTCATGAGTTGTCACGCAAGCACTGTTTGTTCATGGTGTCTCAACGAAGACCACATTGAAAAACAAACGCCGATTCTGCGATCTTTGACCAAGGTATGGTGTGGTGACATTTGTGCTTGGATACACACGTGGAGCTTCTGGAAAACAACTTCTCATACATATATATATATATATATGTATGTATATGTATAGATGTATATGCATGGTGACCTTCCTAGGACCAACCACGGTCATGCAATTGCTCATGTGCATCCCCATGTTGTTGCGGATGAAAGCCCAACACCCAATAAATATCGCTGAATTTCGTTTTCAGTATGGTTGTCTACAGTGCATGTGCATCATGCTACGGTATCAAAAGGCAGGTTCAAGTTTCGTAGCTATATTTCTGACATTTTGTCTGCTCTCAGGTGCTATCTTTCACGTTCTCAATCTGCTCTCCTCGCGAGTGTTACTCTCAGAGTCCACATTGCTGTATGATAGCATGTGTCCTGCGATCTAGTTTTCGAACAATAATTGCGATGCATGCGTCATTGCTTCTGTTACAGCCTATATGCAATTAGTTTTGGGTGAATACTCGTTGAACATTTCACAGTGCCTGGCCTCACATTCAAATATTGCTCATCGAGTGCTTATGTGACACATGCAAGTATGAGTTACCAGCCCTGCGATCTAATTCAGCAGTGAGCACGATCATGTGTTGCTGCTTCTGTTAGAGTTCTTTTGCAGTTGAACTCGGATCAGTATTTGTTAACGTTTCGCCTCATATTTAAGTCTGCTCAATTGGCAAGCGAGAACATGTTTAAAAACATCTAACACTCAGACAGTATTGGAATAGCTACTGTAAGCGTTGCCGCAATTCAAACCACATTAAGATAGTAACTGCCGTTCATTTCATCCGTCACGAAACAAGAGCAAGACGAACCTGCGAACCGGGGGCTTCTCGATAGTGCCTAGATCATAAAATGCTGTATCACTAACTAGCCTCAACACTGCGTGTCCGAATGCCGTTTACATACTAGTGAAACATTCATAAGAAATGAATTGGAGTTCATTTGCTTGCATTAGCCAAGATGCAACATCGGCACTCTCTGAAAAGCCTCAGACGGCGGAGACTGAATCTGTCCAGAAACCAACTACCCGAGACTCAGATCGGGTTGGGCATGTCGGGCATGCTGCTCAGAGGAAGGAGTGTGGCTGGTCAAAGTTGAGCTGTCGAATGAAGACAAAGAATTCTCAAGCTGACATGCTGTAGCGCAGACCCCAGCTCTGCGCACTGAATGCTGCCAAGTTTCTTCCGGCTCGACGGACACCAACTCTTGGTGATCTTTTGCGAGGGGTCGAACGGCTCGAACAATTAATGTACCGAAAATGATGAACATCGCCACAATGCTGAGGCCTGCAGGCAGAGGGCATCGTCAGCCTACTGAGGCTGTAAAAAGCTGACTGACAGTCTGATGCAAAATTGAAGTCCCCACGAGTCCTTCTGACTATCCGAGCAAGTTCGACTTTCAGATTCATTAGTCCAAAGTTCTGGCGCTTGGTATTGTCTCGTGGCTTTGTTCTTCTTGCGTTCTGGTTTCCCAGCATTGGTATCAAAGGGAACCTATCTCAACATACTGAACTTTGCAGGACAGCAGAAATACCCCGCAGACAAGGCCCACCTGACATGTCATGCTGGAACAGCATGCATGATACCAGCACTGAAAGCACTTGTCGCGTGGAGGCAATGAGAGTGTAGACCACAGGACCAAAATGCCTCAGCAAAGCGCTGCAACATGATGCAAGATGCCTGCAGCGCCGAAAGATAAAAGCATTCCGATCTCTGACAACAGCTGCGCCGCTTGATTGTGTAGGATATCATGTACTGGGTCACCGTCGATGCCAGAGATAGAACCAGCATATGCGTCAGAGCCTGCCAAGCACTGACCAAGATGGTGCGAGTCCAGAGGACATAGGAAGCAACAACATGGCAAGGGCCTCTGGACATTGCCAAATGAAGTTGATCGATGAGAACCTCGGTGCTGGCCAGTGAGACTCTGCACCACCCGCGCCAGAAGCGAAAGCACAGCCAAGTCGCATAGCACCACTCAGGAGCAGCCTTGGAGGCAAAGTCCCACGGCGTACCGGTACACATTGAAAAGGGGACTTGCTGCTTCTGGGGCACTCAGCAGTAATGAAAGCTAGGGCGAAGCAGGACATCGCCAAAGTGGCCTGGACCACATCGAGGTCCTGCAGGTAGATTGCATCAAGTCATGTCGATTGAACATCCGTCCATCGCTGTGGCGTCATCATTCTGCAAACCTGTTTGCGAACTACATAAAACTGGGTACGTCCTCTGAGCTTACAGCCGTTTCAGTTTGATCTGATCTACCAGCTGCAATCCACTCACATACTGCACCCTAAACCCAAGCAGCAAAGAGAACAAGAGCGAGAAGGGGGGAAAGGGACAAGATGTGTGCCTGCGTGTCTGTGTGGGGGCGCCGCGGGTGCGTGCGTGCGTGTGTGTGTGTGTGTGCGCATGTTTCTCTGTCTGTCTATCTATCTATCTATCGAGTCTATCGATCCGTCCGTCTATCTAAGATCTGCTTGTCGGTCGAACTTTCCAAGTATCTGTCTATACATACAGCAAGAGAGTTCTTGCGATGCTGGGCAGTCTGATTTGGCTGCCATCTCCATGGATGCATGTCCTTAGGACACCCCTCACTCGACTTGTAAAAGGAGCATGGAGCCATTAATACCATTGAAATGTAAACATATATATATATATATATAGCAAACAGTAAAGAGATAGAAGAAGAAACATATCTGAAGATAGCATTGCCACCCAGTGTGACCGCCCCTTGAGCAGTGGCAGACTCCATGCAACAGAAAATCACATGTTAAATCTCCCCGAAAGGCCACGTTAGTGTTTGTCTGACAGCTGTCTGGGTAAACTACATAGACATTCTGGGCTACCTCCTCCAGGTTTTCTGGGGATGCATCCTTCTCCATCATCCGTTACATACGTAGGACAGCCATCGCAGCACAAGGCCATGCAATAATGACCGCGCAGCATGCTTGGTCCAATATGATATGTGATGGCAAGGACTTCATATCTGCAGGACTGAGAGAGGATGCCTGGGCCAGTGAAGTACGGAATGAGGACGTGGCGACTATGCTGCAACTTAACCCGTATCTTTCTATCATCAACCGGTTAAGCTGCACAGGCACTAGCTCAGGCAACATCAGGGCCGCGTGGCGACCTGGCTGCGCCACAGAATCAAACACTTCTGCAGGCTACATTGCCCACCTGAGGTAATGGCCGCGTAGGCAGGCAAAAGCAGTGCGCCCGTCTCCATGCGCTTTTGAGCCACCCCTCCAGAAAGCAATGGAAGATCACCATTCGCATCGGCCGTGTCAGCGGGCCTTGTAGAGTCTATGTAGAGGTCGTCCACTATGGCCCACTCGTTCCCGGAGGCCCGGGTTTACAGTACCATATTATGACGTCCGTGTCCAGGTGGATCACCGCCATGGAGTCCTCCAACCTAAGAGCCATCCTCGCCATGCACATGGCCAGGTCCTGGAGTCGCCTCTCCTTGGCATCCCGCCTGTCCTGGCCCCTCCGCTGGGTCCACTGCCGATCGTTCCAACCCCCCTCCTCTGCCTGCGATCGGACTGCCGGCGGTAGCCCCTGACCTGGTCCTGGGGCCGCCGCTGCTCTGCATCCCGATTCGTAGCCGGGCTATACATACATACTTACATACATCTCGTCTTTCTCGTCTTTCGGGCACAGCATCCATTCGATCGCAGCCCATCTTTGGCACCTAATTAGTGAAACGCATCTGAAGACGACCATCAGGATTGGGTGTTCCGAAGAAAACAGCTCCCATCCTTCTGGCCACGATCAAGGCAGGCAATCTCCGTAAGAGGTGAGGCAGAACTGCGAACGGAGGGGTGGTAGAGGAGCGTAGCAGGAACACTCAAATTCCAAAGGCGGAGGACAAATCGGAGGAGGTCTCCGCCGAGGGTTTCCCAAGCCAAGGAATTCCCGTAGGTAGTCGGGGAGGAGTCAATTGCAGGTAACTCCGAGAAGGAGGACCAAGCTCCAAGGTTGATGACGAAAGCCGTATCATCAAAGGGCCCCGCAAAGAAAGTGAGTGGCTCACCGCCAGCAAGAGTGTCGAGGCATTCCTCGGTCGTGAAGACACCGCGACACCACGCTGCTGGGCCCACGTAGAAAGTCGTAAGGTCTGGAACATGAACTGTCACACGCGAGAACTGAATGTGCGCAACCTCAAGAGCCCCTACTTACATACATACATACATACATACATACATACATACATACATACATCCATACATACATACATACATACATACATACATATACATACATATACATACATACATAGTTACATACAT